ATTTCCATTCATTCATTGTTGCACTTTTCTCCCTGCTCACCCCTCGTCCCAGTTTGCTCTTCTCTTTAAAAAGTAAAAGAAAAATTCTTTCATTGTTATACAGTCCCTCCCTCCAAGTCCATTCCACCACGCAGCCTTCGAATGTCCCATATGTCAGACTTGTTTGATCTTCTTTATTGGAACTGGTCACAGAGCACAGTCTTGAGATGCTGAGATTCTTAACCAAGCCTGACCGTTACTGCTCTGTGTGATTCACAAAGTGGGTAGGCAGTGTTCATGGGCTCACTGGTCAACGGCAGAGAGGGTCACCAGGGATCCACTGGAAGTGAGAATTGATGGCTACTTGGGGAGTTCAGAGACAGCGTTGCATCAGTGAGAAAACAAGAGCCTGAAGGGAAAGCAGTGTCTGGAGGGATTAAGGGAGAGAGAGGAAGTCATTGCTGGCACTGGGCATATTCTTTTTTGGTAAATCAGAAAAATATAATGTTGTCAGGGTTGTTTTTCAGTTCCAGCATTCTGCCTTTTTTGGAGGCAGCAGTTTTTCTGCTGAGAGGCTGTGGCATTTAAAGACTCCTGGTTGTCCAGCAAGGAAGGACCTGGTGGAGGAAGTGGTTAGCAATGGGCTTGACTGATAACCAAAAGGCTGGTGGTTTGTATTTATCCAGAAGTGCCTTGGAAGAAAGGCTTGGTGACTATTTCCAGAATACCAACTCCTGAAAGCCCAATGGAGTATTGTTCTATTGACTTATATGGGACCATCAGGGGTCAATATTGACTGGTTTGGAAGTGGCTGAGGCAGTTGTACAGAGGGTTGGGGTCCATCCTTGATCTAGGCAGTAGACTCTGATAAAATAGCTTCATGTCCCCTTCCATGCAACAGAGGAATGTCTGCTGTGGAAGCCATGGGAAGACCAAGGTGAGGGTGGAGGGAAGTATGAGTAATGGAGGCCTTCCAGCTGCTGGGGCTGTGTGGTCGTTTGAATCCCCCCAGCGTGCCTTGGAAGAAAGATGTGCTGATCTACTTCTGAAAAAATTGGCCACTAAAACCCGCTATAGTGCAGTTCTCCTCTAACACCACAAGTCAGTGTTGCCTCAGCTACAACCAGTTAACTGGCTGTGCTTTGCATCCCACAGGTGTCTCCATGGAAGTGGTTCTGAAACTCTTTGGAGAATACTTCTTCAAATTCTGTAAGATGTCTGGCTATGACCGGATGCTCCGGACACTGGGAGGGAACCTCGCAGAGTTCATAGAAAACCTGGATGCCCTCCACAGTTACCTTGCTCTGTCTTACCAGGTAAGGGCATCGGGGATTGGTCTCTGGGCAAATTCTCAGGAAGCAAATGGCTGTAATGAGGTGGGTGGTGGCAGAGTGGTAGTATTCTCACCTTCTATCCGGGAGACCCAGGTTCAAGTACCTCCTCACCAATGAAGAGCAGTCACTACACATCTGTTAATGAGGGCTTATGTGAGGCTGTGGTGCTGAGTAGACTTCAGGAGCACTTCCTGACCAAGATCGACTAGAAGAAAGGACTTCTGGAAACCAGCTGATGAAAACTCCACGATTGCACTGGTCCAGTCTCGTCGTGTTTGTGCTCATTGTTCTTAGGAAGCCAACTTAACAACAACAACAACAACAACAAATGCCTGCAGAAGTTTCTGGCATTACCTTTCCCTCCAACAAAGTTGCAGCTACAAAGGACATACCTCCCATCTGCTGCTGAGTCCTTGGTAAATGGCACCAGTGGGCTTGGTATTTTTCCAGGGAAACGAAGTAGGGAATAAGTGGCTGTTGGTTGCTTTTATAAACCAGGACCTAAGGAGGGCCAGGAGGACAGGCCCTGCACTCTGATGGGCAATGGCTCGTTCCGATAGGGCTGGTTTGTGCTTGGAATGAAATATCCAGATTGATCACAATGGGAACAAGGGCTGGAGTCCAGTCAGGTTTCTGTGGATTTGGAAAGTCTCTCCTAAGGGTTCCTGGCCTGGATGGGGCTGATGATTAGCTGAAGCAGCCAACTTCGTGTTATTCATGTCTCCGAAGGAAAGACTTGACAGGGCCAAGACTGGACTCGGAACCCATCCAACTCAGATTAACCCACAGGGTGGCTGACTGAGGTGTGAAGAAACTAATTTCCCTATTGGGATATGTCCTTCTGGACCTCACTGCCTGGTGTGTGGAGATCATTGGGAATTCAAATACCCAGGCTGCCTTTTCTTTTTTCCAGAGATGAAAACACTTTATTGGAAAGGCAAGGTGAAATTTGCACAGATCCTGGTAATAATTTGTATTTGTTTTTAGGACACTTTGTAGTTTACCAAGCTCTTTTTATCCCATTTCTCTACTGGATGCTCATAACCATCATTAGAGTAATGAGGGTAGGTCTGAGGATGTGCGTTCAATTGTCACATTAACTGTTACCCGGTCAGCCGACACAAAGTAGTAATGTGTCTCTTTCGCTACACACACACACACACACACACACACACACACACACAAGCACACATGGTTTTTACAATCACTTGTTGTGCATCAGAGAGTTGGACAATGACTAGTGAGGATGGAAGGAGAACTGATGCCTTTGAATTGTGGTACTGGAGAAGAGTATTGAACATACCATGGACTGCCAATAAAACAAACAGATTCATCCTAGAGAGGCTTAAACCAGGCTGCTCCTTGGAGGCAAGGATTCTGGGGCTTTATCTGACATACTTTGGGCATGTTGTAAGGAGAAACAGGTCCTTGGAGAGGGAAATCATGCTTGGGAGGGTGAAGGGCCGGTGCAAGAGGGGAAGACCCTCTATGACATGGATTGATTCAGTGACTGGGGTAATCGGGATGGGTGTGTTAGAGGCAGTGTGATTGGCACAGGATAGAGCAGGGTTTAGGGCTGTTGTATATAGGGTCGCTATGAGTTGCAAGTGACTCGACGCACATAATAACAACACACATATATGTATTTAGGAGGGAGAAGGCTTGATGGCCTTGAGTAACTTCAAGGAGAATGGGTAGCTGGATGTGTTCGTCACTATCCTATGCGCTGTTCAAGGAGTTTGTGACTGGAAAGAACCTGGTTATGGGATGAGGAGCCTACAGCTCTGTGTGATCAGCTCTCAACATTCTAGCTGTCTGCCCTTGAACAAGTGATTTGCCCTCTTTGAATCTTCATTTTTAAATAGATTCCTTTAATAAATATTTGTTGAGTGCTTAGTAAGAACAAAACACATTTTAGGCATTAAAGACACAGAAAAGCAAAAAAGAATTAGTAGAGGACTGAAATCGACCTCATACTGAAGTGTCAATGAAATGAGACATGATGATTCTTAGATACAACAGGCCCAGAGGAGATACTACACAAATACCACTGCCTTTCTTCCCCTCGCTCTTCTCTCTGTTCAATAAGGCAGATTTTAAAAGGACAATCTTCCATGTGGCAACTTCCGTTCAAACTTCTTAGTGGGATCAGGAGTGGCATCCACTTCCTAAATAACATGCCTCCAGAAACCCTATGAACTTTGATAAATGTAGATATTTATAGACAGGCTTCAAGCCTTTGGTTCATAGGGTCGCTATGAGTTGTGCTCAATCAACAACAATAAGGCAATAAATAACAACAGTTATCTTTGATCTGATGTCTTTCATCTAACAATTAGATTAGTATTGTATATTCTAGTTATGGAGAGGAGGCTAAGATTCTCCCACTCATTCACTAAATCAACTCACTAATTCGTGAAATCAACTAACATTGACGGGAGACCTTTCATGTTCCAAACATTGTCCTCACCGTCTTACTATCACCGTTATGAATACGAGTGAAAAGAATTTAGCTTCTAAAGTCCTAAGTCCTTTGTTTTTATACCCAACCCTCACAGTCACCCCCTGTATGCACAGTTTATATTAGAAAACAATGGAACAGAACATCTCTGGGAATGTGGCAAGGAGCACAATAAATAAATTGTGCAAATGATGTGACATACAAACTGAAACAGAAGACATGCAATGACACTTGATAGCTATATGATACTTTATAGTGAGAAAAGTACTACAGATTGTCTTGTCTGTTTCTAGTCATTTTACAGTCCTTAAGATACATGTTCTAGGCAAAATTGTGCCCTTAATTATACTGGTTTTTCTCTCTGCTAATTTATTGAATACAAATTATGAAGCAGGGGATGGGCTAAGCGATTTGTAAGCATTACCTAACTCCCCTAAGATCCACTTACTTAGTGCTCTCGAGTCGGTTCCGACTCCCGGAGATCATCCCCACCCCCATCTCCCTGGTCCCCATCAGTGTTCTGAGGCTGTAAATCTTAGCAAGAGAGAGGAGACTGTTCATCCTTCCTCAAAGTGACTGATGCACTAGAACCGCTGGAGATGTGAGGTCTCTCTGTTGGTAGTGCAGCCTGCTATACATAGACTGTGACTCTATAGCCACTCAGAATAAATACTCCTATATTTCTCACCATACAGATGAGAAAACTGAAGTCTAGATCATTCGAGTGACAGCTTAATTGCCCAGGTCGTGGTGACTTCGCTAGAACCCAGACCCAAATGTGTCTATCTTAAAAGACCATCCTCTGGTCAGCCTCTCATTACTGTCCCTTTGCCCTCACTCATCTGATTTTTAAAGTCTGTTTTAATCAAGAAATGAAAGTATGAACATGAGATGGAGAAACTGCCTAGAAAAATGAAAAGCAGAAGCTTCGGGATATGTCCCTGGGGAAGCATGCTGAGTGGATGGGAGGAGCTGAGATGGGGGTGTATGTGGAAAATATCAAACCCCACGCTACTGACACCGGTTTTCACACTATGTTTTAAGTAAGGATCCAGAAAATAAGTTAATCTCTGCTCCATTCCTGCCTCTGGTCCTCAGCACCTGGCATGTCCTCTGAAGTTGGTTTGGTGCAGGGAGGTGGCCTTTGAGGCCTGACCAGCCTGCACTGACTCTCTCACTGATTTCACTTCTGAGGTGGGGCCTGGGAGTCTACAAATAGTAAGGCACCTTCATAGTGGGGCAGATTCGAGGGAAAGGAGACTGACTGAGATGCAGGAAAAAGGCCAGATTCTCGAAGGGACAGTTACCCCTTTACCCCACAGGATGGCAGCAGGAGCTTGTGCATGTCCACAGAAGCCCTTCGCACCGCTGTGATTTCATTTCACAACGTAGAATCTTGCTGATATTTTTTAAAAAACAATGCCCAGAATTCTATTTTCTCTTGTGCCTTTTGTGTCTTGTGTAAAAAACTCTTTTGATTTAGTCAACGTATAAACACAAACAAATATACTTTATATGTTTGAACAAAAAGAACTAGGTACCTTCCCACAATGAAAGAGGGCCAGTGACTTTGGAAGGGATTGATGTCCTTCATCGCCTCCCTCACTCAGACCAAAGCCAGTCTGAAGTGCTGGGTCAGTGACTCAGGGGAAGAAATATTTTTATCTTTAATTTTTTTTGTGCAATCTTGAATTTAAACAATTTTTTTTTCCTGGAGAAAGTTGATTTCTGACATAACTTTGATGGAATGGTTTCATCTTAGTCGGAGATCTCTAGAGAAACTGTCTTTATATCTATCCTTCTATCATCTGTTTATCTAAAAAGACTCGGCTCACCAAACTGAAGGAGGCTGCCCAAACTACAAGACAGGTGGCAGGTGGTGTCCAAGTTCTTAATTCCAGGTCTAGGAAGAGAATAAAGTACACAGAGAGAACAAGTTCTGCCCAAATATCAACTAAGAATCTGGAGACAGAGGACACCCCAAGGAAATGCCCTTTTTCCACTACTTGGCTGCATCATACTTGATTACCTTGTGGGTAGTGAGTACATTATATCAGAATACGATCACTAGACTGGTGTTTGACCAAACCCCTGAGAACCAAAGCCCAGCCAAGTGGATGCATAAAATTAACCATCACAGTTTGCTTTCAAATTTGTATTTGCACCATGAACGGCATTATTCTTATAGAGCAAGCAATGAACTCTTGTTTACTTGCAAACTCAAGGAGTTTGAGGGGCATTATGGGTGAGCATTTGGTTACTAATGAAAAGATCTTCAGTTCAAACCCGTCAGCCTTCTCCTGGGAGAGAGATGAGGCATCTGCCCCGGTAATGACTGCCAGCCTAGCAAACTGCCTGAGCGGTTCTACTCTGTTCTACAGGATCATTAGGAGTTGGGATCAACTCAGTGGCAGTGGTGATGGTGGACTAACACACTCTGAGGGTCTTTGATCTTTGCACAGGGAAGATGGCACAGTCATTTGGCCACAGGCCAAGCAGGACAGAGGGCTCATTAAGGCTTCCTGGTACCAATCAACCAGTCTTCTTTCAGAGTCTAACAGGATAGAAAGACTCAGTTGGGGTCCAAATGTTATTCTAGCATTAGTTTTCACCTTAACTTCTTGGAACCTTGAGCTTTCTCCACTTTAGTACCTACCATGTAGAATTCCGGGGAGACTAGGTAGAATATAAAATTCTTAATATGTAAGGGTGAGGCATTGATGGTCCAATGGCAGAATTGTCACTATTTTTTTGGTTGCTGGGGATTAGGGTTCAGGTCCCAGCCAGTGTAACCTCACGTGCAGTCACCTCCCACCTGCCAGTGGAGGCTTGTGTGTAGCTGTGAGGCCAAACCAGTTTCAGTGGAGATTCCAGATTAAGACTAGGAAGAAAGACCTGGCTATCTGCTTTTGAAAATCTGCCAATGAATCATAATGCCGTGATCTGTGGCCAATCATGGGAACATTGCAATACTGGGCAGGGTGTCCTCTCACTGGGCACGTGATGCTGACCACCAGATAGCAGTTGACTTGACAGCGTCTAACAATAATGAGAGTCGGTAAAACCGTGGCAGCACTTAAGTTTATGGGATTGGAGGAGGTGACTGGGATGCAATTCTGGGTGATGATTGCATTACCATTAGGGTATGTACTCTTGGCTTACCACAGCCCCAAGCAGATTCTAATTGACTTGCACTAACTAGGGAAAATGCCTTGTGTTTTCTGTTAGGAGATGAATGCCCCATCGTTTCGTGTGGAGAACAGAGCAGATGGGAAGATGCTTCTGCACTACTACTCTGATCGGAGTGGTCTCTGTCACATTGTACCAGGTATGGGAAGGCTGGCCAGCCCCACAGTCATGTGCCCTTTGGAACAAAAGGAGCGTCCCTCAGTTTTCTAGGATTGCTAGTAGCCACCACGGGGGAGGGAGTTAATGCTCTATCTCTTAAGAAGTCTGACTCTTTGTTATCTTGACCACAATTCCCCAAGTCTCCAAGCCTTTTAAATAAATTTTTGGAGTGCTAACAGGCATAGTGGTTTTTGTTTCTCTTCCATCATTTTTAGCTATGCTGGATTCAACATAGTAGCAAAGCTTCCTATCATGTGTCTCTCAGTTTGTGGCATGGTGGTGGCCCGTGTGTGTTATTGGGAGGCTGGAAGCTGTGTCACCAGTATTTCAAATACCAGCTGGGCCACCAGTTGCTTACAAAGCTTGCAGATGAAGGTAGACGGGGAAGAAAGGTCTGGAGATCAACTCAAAACTAGCCAGTGACATTCTGTGAATTACTACAGACTATTGTCCGCCGATTGCCAGACAGATTGCCAGGTTGGTCTCTAAGAAGATGAGCTCTTACGTGGGAATGCATGGCATAGTAGCTGCAGCAATGAACTCAAACATACCAGTGACCGTGGAGATGGCACAGGATGGGCGTTCTGTTCTTTCATACCTGAGGTCACCAGGAGTCGCAGCTTACTCAACAGCCACTAACAACAAAACTCATTTCGCACGTTGTTGTTGTGTACCATTGAGTCAGAACCAACCCATAATTACCCTCTGACAGGTTTTCAGAGGCAGTAAATCACATGGAAGGAAACGGCCCATTCTTCTGCCATGGGGCAGTGTGATGGATTCAAACTGCATGACTTTGGGAATGCAGAACAGCTTCTTGCCACTAGGCCACCTGAGCCCCCTTAGTTTTGCATATGTGTAAGTATCAGCTTTTGTTTCAATGCAACATTATAGATAAGTAATTCTTCCAGTTTTCATATAGTATCAAACCAACATCTTAAATGACTGAATAGCTCCCCCTCTTCTGATTAGCTTAACTCGTGGCTAGTGGCCTAGTGGAGAAGAAGTTGAACTGTTAACCCAAAGAAAGGAAGGTGATTCAAACTGACCAGCTGCTCTGCAGGAGAAAGATGGGAAGTCTCCTCCTGTGCAATTTACAGCCTCTGTAAACTCACTGGAGAGTCAGCTATGAGTCAGTTCAGACTCAATAAGTTATTGTTAGAGCAGCAGGGATATATTTAAAGAGCATAGAACTCTGGCCGATTGGCAAATTACATATTATGTTCCTACCTCAAAAACAAGAGTTCAAACCCACCATTTGCTCTGTGGAAGAAAGACGAGTGGTCTCCAGTAAAGATTTACAGCCTCAGGAACTGGATGAAGTGTCGTGGTGAGACAAGATACACTTGATGGTAATAGGTTGGTTTGTGGATATATTTGGTTCCCAGACAAATCGAACTTAAATCAATACATACTTCTATTGTGTTGACCTCTCACCTGCTACCTGTCTCTCGAGTCAGACTCTGGACAGACTCAGGAATACTTGCCAGAGGTAGTGTGAGTGATGCTGTCATGATTTTTGCTGTCACTTACCAGTGGGTGTCTTTTTGCAACAGGTATCATTGAGGCTGTGGCCAAGGACTTCTTTGACATTGACGTGACCCTGGAAATCCTTGACATGAATGAAGAAGAGGAGAGGACAGGGAAGAAGGAGCACGTTGTGTTTCTCGTTGTGCAGCAGAGCCACAAGCAGATGCGAAGGGCAAAGCCCAACAGGCCCAGAGAAGGCCAGGAGGCCCAGAGAGACCAGGAGGTACTGAAGTCACTGTTGCAAAGAAAACACTTCCCTCTCAGTGAGGCCAGTGGTCTTAGAACAAGCAGGGCAAAGAAGAGAAGCCACTGGACCTCTAATAATAAGAGTAAGGAAGGGCATCTCAACCTCAGCTAGCGACTTTCTGGATCTGAGGATGCTCTGTGGAGGGAATCATCTGGGCTTGGCTTGTAGCGTGGTTAGCAGGATCAGTTCTCGGTTTGTAGGATGGTTGCAGGATCCCTGGCCTCCACTGGATTAGCAGCCATGCTTTCCCCCAGCCCTTACTATCTCCAAATGCTGCTGAATATCCTCTAAATAGGGGAAGGGTTTTTGTAACCTTTGGTTGAGAATTGCTAGGTTAAGGTAATCAAATTTCTCCAGAGAAACAGCAGCCACAGGAGATATAATAGACACAGCGATGGAACTACAGATATGGGGCGGGGGGTGGGGGGGGTGGAAAGACAGAAAGGAAAGGGAGGAAAGGGAGGAAGGGAGAAAGAGAGAGAAAGGGAGAAGGGAGAAGGGAGGAAGGGAGGAAGAGAGAGAAGGAAGAGGAGGAAGAAGGAGAAGAGAGAAGAGAGGACAGAGAGACAGAGACAGAGAGACAGACAGACCTGAGTCCAAAATCCATCGGCCAGACAGGTTGACGGGCTGGGAACTGTGACAGAATTTCTGTACTCACTTCCTAAGACAGAGTTTCTTCTATTATAAGATATCCCTGCTTTTGCTGTAAAGTTTACTGTCACCTTATTGGATAAGACCCACCCTCATTAAATATTAATCCGATCTATAAAATAGTTTCACAGTCACATCTGGCTAGTGTCTAAATAACCAGGCACCACAGCCTAGCCCTGTTGACACACAGAAATGACCTGGGTCGCCAGTTTACATCGCAATGTTTTCTGGGATGCTTTCTAACCTGAGAGATTCCTGCTTACAAAAATAGCAGTAGAAAGTGTATGATACTTGGAGCTGCTGGCTTATTTTGCAAGTCTTCTAAAATGTACTGGGCTTTCAAGTGCTCAGAGCGCTCTTCCTCAGCTAGGGGTCTGGAGTCAACTCCAGATCCAGTGATTGCCACCTACACTCCAGCTGTGTATTGGAGGCCTAGTGAAAAGGAGCTACACTGCCAACCCAAAGGCATATAGTTCAAATCCACCATTTGCTCCATGGCAAAAAGTTGGGCAGTTTCCTCTAGTGTGATTTACAGCCTCTGAAAAACCACTAGGGGGTGAGCTATGAGTCTGCTCTGGCTGGATGGTACATAACAACAATGGATTTAAGAAAACACCTATTTGCCACCTACCTGGTTCCCACGTGTGTCAGAGTAGAACTGCGCTTCAGTGAGTTTTTTTGCACTTATCTTTTGAGAGTTGATCTTCTGATGCACTTCTGTGTAGAACAAACTTCTAACCTGCCAGGTAACATCTGAGCGTGTTAACTGTTTGCAGCACCTGGGGTTCCATATAACCTCTTCGGGGCTACATAGATGAGGTCAGCAGCTCTCTCTGTCCACATGCATGCACATGTATCTAGGGATGTCTGTGGTTTCTGGAGCCAGGGTGTTTAGATCTTAGAAAGTTTAAGCCTTTATTCTGTGGTCAGTTCCTAAGCAGAATCTTCAGCTCAAGGAAGAGAAGATGTCATGTGAAGCGAGCATCAACCCAGCCCCTTCTTGAGTCTGGCTGGAGTGTATGCTGCCTTGCAGAGGGGACCAGCACGAGACTTAGATAGTCTGGAGTCTCCAGAGAACAAGTCTCACAAGCTCTCACCTTGGTCCTCCACCACTGGCCCAGAGACAGGGTGTTGCTTCTCTCACCATGGAACCCAGTCCTAGGCTTACACACTTCCTTCTCCCCTGTCTTCTGCAGGCCCTCGAGGCAGCTTTTCTGAGAATGAAGGAGAAATATTTGCATGTCTCTCTTTGTCCTGTGAAGAAATCTCGCTGGGACATTGTGAGGAGTGTAGTCATGTTTGAGAAAGGTAAGTGGACACTACCCACACCCCTAGCTCCTGCTGGGACAACTGCTGGTCCTCCACTGACCACTGGGATGATGTGGTTCTTGGGCTGGCAACACTCCACACACAGGAAGAATCTTCTAGAAGTGTCTGCTCTCTGAGCTGTAGGGCACTTGGATTTGTAAGCATGGCTTTTAATTTTAAAACACTGTGACAGGGAGAAAGACGGAGGGCTCTGTCCTTCGTATTTATGTGGGTGAACTAGAATCACTTGTTCCCATAGTCAGAGAGGGTAGGACCAGTCCCAGTTGGTGGCTGCGTTGAAGAGAAGGTTCAATACTGAAAAATGCGTTTTCTCCAGCTTTTTTAGAGTCCATTCTGGCCTGGCTGTTGTTTCAAAGAGGTTAACTAACAATGGTTAGTCATTGTGGATGAAGTAAAATCAGAACAGTCTCAAATTTGGAAATTTTGAGTGAAGTGAAATGATAGCTGAGAAGGGAAAAGTTATGGCCAAAATCTTGGAATGGGAGAATCAGAAGAGCCCTTTCGGTAGTCTAAGGCCAAGACCATGGACAGCAGCATGCATTTATAGTAGGATGGTCAGTCGCCATCTTTGAGTCGGGCACTGTTGGTTCCAACTCTGCCCGTCAGGAGATTTGTGCTGTCCTTGTTCATTTGGAGGGAGATTACATTTCTGGCAAGGGTAGTGACCCATAATGATTTTAATTTTGCTTATTGTTCCAGTTCAATTACATTTTAGAAATTTGAGTCCATTCTGGTTTTCCTTTGTTGACCAAGACCGAACCGGGAAGACAGGGTCTAAATGGATAGAAACCATGGTCGTTCAGTGTGCAAAGGGCACTGGCCTCAGAGCCAGGGAAGCAGATTTCTGACTTGCCTCCCACGGGCTGTGTGACTTTGTAAAGGACACTCCAATCTCTGATTCTCCATCTTCCCATCCTCAAAATGCAAGCAGATGTCTTTTTACATGCCCAAGTCACAGTCAGGACTCCCACCAGCTCTTGCCCAGATGGGCCGTATTGACAGACATCTGGGAGAAGGTCTGCAGCCTCACGGGGCTGCGTTCTGAGTCTTCAAGCCATGGCAAGCGAGTCAAACATGCAATTGACATCCTTTGTCTAGGAGATTTTCATATCAAAAAGGCTCCATTTCGGATCTCTCCCCCCTGCCAAATAGGACTGTTGGTTAAATTTTCATGTGCCACCCAAAACTGTCAGTCTCCAACGCTCTGTGGCAACTGTCCCCGGCACCGGGCGGGAGCACACGCTCCACTCTGCACGCCCATTGTCTGGCTGTCATCGTCTCAATGCCGACTCTGTTTTTACAGCGAGACGTACTCAATTGGCCCAGCAGCTCTTCAGCACTGGGCAGAAACTTGGCAGGGGGCAGGAGGTTTTTCTCAACCTGGTAGCAAGTATTCTGTTTGTTTTAATTTGGAAGAAGAATTGCTGTGGCCATCTGGAGATGCAGAGGGAGCCTGTGCTGAGGGGAGTGGGTTGCACGTCGCCTGTGAAACACCAGATAACATGCTGAGCTTTGCTGGGTTTTGTGCAAAGGTCTCTCACCAGAACCTTCTTTTGTTCTCCACAAGAGCGTTTCAAGGACACCTTCGAGACAGTCTATCCCGAGAGACTCTGGATTGAAGTGAAAACTTTTTGCAACGCCTTTCCCTTCCACATTGTATTTGATGAATCGGTAAGCTTGGAACTGGGAGAATCTGGTGTTGGGAATGTGCCTGTGAGCAAGTTCAAGTCTCTTAACATTTCCAACCACAAGGAGACTAGATTTCAAGCTGGTAAGCTCACTCAATTCCATTTCACGGTGACGTCCCCCAGACACCAGAACACAGATCCTCTGTGGAAGTGGAGTCCCTGGCTGGTGCAAATAGTTAATGAGGCAGGCTGCTTACGGAATGGTTGGCAGATTGAGTCTACCTGGGGGTGCTTTGGAAGAAAGGTCTGGTGATTTCCTTCTGAACAATCAGCCTGTGAGACACAGTTCTACTCCGAGGAGGACACCATGAAACAGAAATCAACTTGCTGGCGTGTGATTTCTTGTCTGTATGTAAGAAAACCACACCTAGTACTTCAAGCCGGTGGCTGCATCAGAGGGCTCACCGTTAGATAGAAATGAAAGGGCTCTGCCGCTCGCTTCATAGAAACAGCAGGACACACAGTAGCCATCTGTCTAGTCATTGTCCTTGAGTCAGAACCCACTCACAGCAGATCCTCCAGCGGGTTTCTGAAGTCTTTCTCATGCAGAGCTACTGGTGATTCGAAGCATCAGAGAGGTACGGCCTTTGGGTTGGCACCCTTGCTCCCTATAGGCTAGGCCCTCCCTCCAGTAGTCATTGTGGTTGTTGAGGACCCTGGAGTCAGGACCGATTCATGGCTGACCCTCCAGCAGGTTTTCAGAGACAGTATATTGTATGGGAGGAGATTGCCAGTCTTTCTTCCACAGAGTAGTGGATTCGAACTATGTGCCTCTGGGATTGTAGCACACGTTCTCACTACCAGGCCACCAGAGCTCCCATGTTGTTGTGTACCGTAGAGTCAGATCCATAGCTGACCCTCTGATGAGTTTTCAGAGGCAGTTAATTGCACGGGAGGAGACTGCCCATCCTTCCGCAGAGCAGCTGGTGGCCTTGAACCGCATGCCTTCAGGATTGCAGCACTCTGTAGGGTAAGAGTCTAAGCCTGACTGCTTACCATCCCTGGGGCCACCGTCCCAGTTGTAATCAATGGCACTTTGGCACATTTACAAAGGGAGAAGGCTGGTGCCTGCCTTGTTCTGGAACCTGTAGGGAAGGCTACTGGAGTTTGCTCTCTTTCCTTTTCCTTGGATAAGAGAGAAGCCCACTAAGTGGATTTTGAAAATAATTTCAAGCTCAAGTCAGCTCAGCTCACTGCCATCGTGTCAGTTCTGGGTCAGAGCGATCCTCTATCACATTCCCAAGGCTGCACATCGGAAGGGCAGGAGACTGCCTGTCTGTCTTCCTGAGGAGACTGAGGCCTCTGAGTCAGCAGTGCAGCTCCCTAAGGACTGCACCACCAGAGCCCCCCAAAGTTCAATCTGGCAAAAGAACTTTGGTCAAAAACACTCATTCAGAAAACCTGCAGCCATTCTGAGATCCCCTGGCACTTATCTGAAGCTGGGGACACAGCAGATCACAGCGGACCAGTCACTGCTAGGACAAGTGGATGAAATGTACTTATCCAAGAGTAGTCTGTGCCCACCAAGAATTTACAATTCAAGGGAGGAAAGCAAACGCCTCCAACACGAAATGAGTTGTTGTTGTAGATTTGTTTTTTTAAAAAATAGAGATTGTGAAAAAAATATAAAATAAAAAAAATAGAGATTGCACTTCCATTAATATGAAGCCTTTCTTCTCAGATCTTAAAGTGTAAACACTAGCCATGGACAGACAGACACTCGTAGCTGAACCTCTAATTGGGTTTCAAAGGCAGTAAATCACGCAAGAGGAGACTGTCCATCTGTCCTTCATGGAGCAGCTGGTAGATTTGAACTGCCTGCCTTTTGGGATTGCACCACAGTTTCTTACCACTAGACCACCAGAGCTCCCCTCCATAAAAATTAGTTAGAAAATCTTGTGGTTCTGCTTTGCAACACATATTACACAAAATAAGAATTATAAAGCAATATACCTTGACTTCTCCCCAACCTCAAAGGTATTGCTAAGTATCTTCTAATGCACTTTAAAAAAGAACCTCCCCCCACTTCCCCTCTTTAAAGTGGCAGGAGTAGAATGGTAAGTGTTAAGTGCTGCTTAATTCCAAATGAGCTCTGGTGGCCTTCTCTGTAGCAAGTTGTGCTGTTAACCAAACACTTCGTGCCTCTGCAGCTTTGAATCCACTATTTGCTTTGAGGAAGAAAGCAAGCTAATCTCCTCCTGTTATGATTTTTTCCTTTTTTTAAAAAATTTATTATTAATTTCAATGAAAATGTACAGACTTTGGATTTCCATTCATTCATTGTTGCACTTTTCTCCCCTCCCAACCCTCCCCCCTAATAAACTACCCTCTTGGAAAAGTAAAAGAAAAATTCTTTCATTGTTTTACAATCTCTCCCCC